TGGATTTGGGAGCCATTAAATGCTCCTGTAGCTTCTTGTCTTGTTTTTGCACAGACCTTATTGGTGTCTTAGGATCTAACCAACATCAGGTTAGGGTTGATCTGTCTGTCTCAAGCTTCAGTTTCTCTTTCAGGAGCTAAAGATACTTACTACAGTAGCTGAGTGTTGTTAAGAGGCTTGGGAAGTGTCTGCCCAGACTTGGGGGGGGTTGGGAAGATCTGGGTGGCTGAGAGCCGGACCCTTCCCAAGCCTGCTTGGCAGGTAATGAAGGAGGGGAGCAGGAAGCAAGCAAGATCTCAGGAGGGGCTTAATTGGCCATGCTAATCTTTGAGTTTGGGGTTTCTTGCTTTGCTGCTTTTTCCTAGCAGACCTCGCCCCCTTCTCTGCTGAGTGTTGCTTTGAAGAGGCCTGTAACTGTCTCGGGAACCTCTGCAGGCACTGCCTTGGCCTCCGAGGGGGAGCCAGGTGATAGAGATTTGAGCTGAAATGTTGCCTGGGGACAGAGAAGCGATTCAAGCAGCACTGGTCTCTTTGCAGCAAACGCTGGACTATGTAATTTGGACCTTTTCCCTGCTTATTCTGTTTGCTCTGGGAGGATTGCCATTGTAGCCAGAGGAGCAGAACAGAATCGTCCCCGCCGGGCGGCAGGTCAGGTTAGGAGGAGAGATCCCCAGTGATCCTGCCATCCACCAGTATTTCCCATCCCCATCCCTCTCCTGGGCAGCCGGCACAGCCCTGCAGCTTTCGAGCCATCACCACCAGGTTCTGGTCACATCTCTGCTGCTGAGTCCCCGTGTGACCTTGGAGAGGTCATTTATTTATTTATTTATTTATTAATGCTGACATCCAAGTCTTTTTGTCTGCAAAACGTGGAGGATGATTTAGTTACAACTTCATGGGTCGAATGCCGGAACAAATCAGCTGGTGTCTTCCTGTGGCAGTGGCAGGGTGGATGAACCCCGTGTCCTGTGTGCCTTGTACCTGTGCACACAGCAGAGCAGCCCTTGTTTGGCAGACACCGACTTTGGTGACTGGCAGGTGACATAAAGCACACTGAGGTTGTTTTTCCCCCTGTTTAGAGAGCAGAAGTGGGGAGCTGGTTCTCGCTGGTGCTCAGCCTGGGGCCGTGCTGCCCCTCTCTCGGCAGTTAGGGCTGCGGGTTGCTGTAATAACGAGTCAGCACTTCTTGCGTCAGGGCTAATGAGCTGCTCTTCAGCCGCTGCTGCCTGGGCCCTGCTGGGAAGAAGCAGCATCACTGGCAGAAGAGGGGTACCCGTGGCAGAGGGCTGGGGATGGACAACGACTGGTGGGGGTCCCTTCCCAGCTGTAGCCCCTCGGCAGGGAGAAGGCAGGCTTCCTGTGGGGGTGGCTGGATTTGGCACTGAAGCGTGGCTGGTAGAGGGTCTGGCTGGTAGCATGCTTCTGCTGTGAGCAGAGGAGCAGTGGAGGGGAAATGCGGGCTCGTAAATGGGGTAGCCTTTCTGGACCTGTCCCAGATACCTGAATAGCAGCAGTGGCCAGGTAGCCCCTGGGGAAGGGGTTATGTGTGTAGATGAATCAGCTTTTTTTCTTTAAATGCCCCATTTTAGCATACAGTCTCCTCCTGTGTTTAAAAATAACATCAGGTAAAAACTGGGATTCTGTATCCAGCATCCACCTAAAATAAGGGCAGCTGCCCTCAATTTGGTTATGTCTCCTGAGCTTTTGGTGCAGCAGCTCTGGGTACTGGTGTTCAGAGCAAGCACCTCTGTCTGGTGTCTACACCCTCATGTGATGGTCCTGAAGGGGGTGCTTGGCGCCCGTCCTGACATCCTGCCGGCTGTGACACGCAGCCTTGACCTCCTCCTCCTCACTCCTTCCTCCATCCCCCTCTGCTGATAACAGGGAGACTCGTGAAGCACGGTTTCCGCTGAGATGTTGTAGGCTGTATGGATAATGTACAGAGCTGAGTAGGATGGTAAAGAATTTGGGAAACACCTGGCTTAGCAGAGGCTGGCGCTGCAATGAAGGAGAGATCATTGGTGCCTGTGGTGATTATAATCCCTCTGTTTAGACACCAATTCTTTCTGGCTCTGGGTTCATGCTACTCAATAAAACTGTCTGCATGCAAGAAGGGGAAGGAAATGTGAGACCACATGGCCCAAATTTCATGGGTCTTCTTTGCTTGCATCGCGATACCGTTAATTCTTGCTCCTTCCCATTTGGCTGCCTGGGGCTGGTTTGTATCAGTGGTCTGGATTTGGCTGGGAGGTGTCATGCAGGCAGGGGCAGAGGTGGCCAGTGGGATGATGGAGAGCTGCTGCAGAACATCATTGTCCACAGCATCTGGCCTGCGTCGGGATACCCAGCATTGGGGTGCCTTCGGGGGAAGCGGGTGGGAAAGTGGTGTGTGTGGCGGGAGGAGTCGGTGAGGCTGGCTTTGACTTTCTGTGTTGGGACTTTGCTGAGCAAAATCACAGCTTGGTCTCTGTGGCTGGGTCCTTTGTGTTTGATTTTTAACCTTGGGAGCATTGGGATGGGAGCTGACTTGGCCGGGAAGCGTGTCCTGCAGTACGGTAGACAGGCTCCTTGGAGAGCAGCCCTAGGGCTTTATCTTTGCCCTGCCAGCCACACGTTTCTGTCTCCTTCCCCACCATGGCTTTCTTGGGAAAAGAAAGTGCTGCCTGATTTAGACTTCTCTTGGGCACTGCAGGTGCTGCCCTTAATTGGCAGGCTAATTTCTAATCTAGTCACTGGTGCTTGCAAGGGAAGAAGGCGTCCCAAAGGGTCATCATGCTTGGCAGTCCCTGACCAGCCCTGCCTCATACGTGTCCTCCCAGCAACCCTGTCTTTTCAGCTGAGCAAGTCCTGCAGACTGATTGCTCCATGCTCGTTCTTGGCCTGCAAGTGCTCTTTGTCTCTGTTTTTGAGAGCTTAGAGTCCAATCTGCGTTAATCGTAGGTGTGATGAGTTGGACAGGCTCAATCTCTCCCAGTCAAGAGGGCCGAGGACTGGAGGCAAGTGTCCTCCCTCAACAGGAGTTACACTGGCAAATGCTCAAGGTGAATATGAGCAATATCTGCCCCTGGCCATCATCCGTGATCCTTGCTTTCTGCTGATCTAAGCCACTGAGGAGTTCCCACTGCTTTTCTAGTAAATGTGGTGGCAAATCTGCTGTCGAGGAGTTGTGGTTTCTAGAAGGGGGTAGCCTGGACCTCTTGTGGATGGCTGGTTGTGCAGGTGGCTGGTCAGGGTGCGGCGTGCATTTGACAGGGAGTTGGTTGGATGGTCTAACAGGAGTGCACACTGGGGAACCGCACCTGGCAGGGGTATAGCAAGAGGAACAGTTATCAAGGCCTGTTGTTCTTGGCTGGCACAAAGGAATTCCTATTCTCAGCCATTCTATTATTATTAAAATTTCATTTTTTGGTAATAGCCATTACAGCCAGCTGATCCAAGCAGGTGAGATTCATTAACTGGTGCTTCTACTTTGTTCCTCTGAGGAGAAGCTGTCTGGGAGTTGCCCAAGTAGGGAAATGCAGAACTTGCTTCTTGTTTGGGACCTGTTAGATCAAGTACAGGGTGTTTCTACTCACTGTTGTAGGAGCCTGACCTTGTCAGCAACCATCACAGAAATACAGGATGTTTAGATGCACCTGGGTGATGTGCAGGTGGATCTGCAAAGGACCCAGCTTAGTGCTTGGAGGATTTTCTGGATATGCTGGTTTGTTTTTTTTTCCCTGAGATAATACCTTCAGTGTGGCCACAGACCATAACTGTGTAATGTCAGAGAGAACTTTGAGTATTTTTTTTTTCCTATTTTCCTCTGCCACTCATATGTGGGATGAAAGCATCCCTGCCTGAGGATGCCTTGAACACAGGGCACTCTCAAAGGTAGAGAAATAGGAGCTCTTCGTCAGAGGCATGTTTTTGCTCTTTCTACATTGGTTGAGCCCGGTCCAGAGAGCATTGCCCTTTCCAAGGGGTAGTCCTTGCTGCAACTTTTGTGACTTTTCAGCTGAATGTGTGTTTTGGGCAGCTGATAAGCAGGAGCCAGGGGCCTGCCCCTGTCCTAGGAGGACCTTGGCTTGCCTCCCTTCCCTCTCTTCCAAGTTCCTTGAAGAAAACAGTGTATCACGCTCTCAAAAGTGCTGTTTTCATAGTTTCTCAGGGAGCCTTTATCAACAGGATTTTCCACATGTGCTATCCTGTGTGCTCCTCAAAAGAACAAATTTTTCGTCTGATCCTTCCCAGCGAATGTCTTCCTCCAGCAATAAATAGGGTCCATCAGGAGAAGGGCCTGTACCTCTAACTGGAAAGAGCTTTTGGGGTGGGAAGGTCGAGTAATGTGTTTTGGGATCTGAAGCCCTCCAGCAGCTCTGCACAGTGGGCTGTGCTTGCTGGTAGAGCCACCTGAGATGGGAAGGGGAAAGCCAAGGTGTTCTCCCAGGGTTGTGCATGATATTCCATGGGACAGGCACCCGTTCGGGTGATGGGTGTGTGCTTCTTGCTGCCTGTTGTCTGGAGTAGGTGCTGTGTTGGAGCCAGGCACAGCTGTTGATGTCCCTTACAGCTATGAAAACCAAGAACCATTGGGAAAATGCTCATTTTGCTTTTTGCTTTGGCTGCCACCTGCGCTCCCCAGCTGGTCACCATGTTAGATGTTCTTTGTGCACATTTCTACTTGATAATATTGGCTGGCGGGAGTGTGGAGGTGACATCAAGTAGCTCATCTCACAAGCTTTTTATCCCTCACTGTTGTCTATTAGAAGCCAATGTAGAAGGTTATTTATGAGAGCAATACATTCAGGTAAACACAGACTCCTTCAAAATCTTTTTTGCAACAAGTGGTTGAATTGAGGTGGGTTCCAAGCTGGATTGATGTTTAACTTGGGATACTAAGAAAATACTTCCTCTGTTTAGCTAAAGCAAACAAATCAAGAGAGGAGGGACCTTTTAAATGTGATTCGCACTCCAGATGCAAGCAATGCTAATTTTTTCTTTTTTTTTTTCTTTTACAGATATATTTCCAACTGACGGCCAGTCTGGTATGTATTAATTAAAAAATTAAGTTCTTCAAACCTCCCTCTCCCATGCGTCCCCTGCACTTCTCTTTCTGAAGGGTCAGCACTAACCAGATTTAGAAGACTGGTACAAGAATATGCAACAGACAGATGTTAATTTCAAAAACAAAACAAACAAACAAAACTCCAAAACATCCAAAAACCCAAACCAAAAAACCTCCTCAAACAAACAAAAAACCCAAACAAACAAAAAACCCTTCTAATACTTGGCCATGCCTGCACCACAGTGACATGATTTATACTTTCACATAGTGATGACTACACCTACTGGAAGGTTACTTTTCTCCTGTACATTGTAGCACGGCAGATCTGGGTGTCCAGGGTGAAAGTTTCAGAACTTGTAGGACTTGGTGATCACACATAACTGAAAGCGTTGACGTGTCAACTTAGAACTGCTGCTGTTAGTCTGTATGTTAGTTGTATACAGCTTGGTGTGTCCATGGCCCTGAAGATGTATATTTAATTTGCAATACTTTGAAAACACGCAGACTTCCCCCTTGGTTTGTTTAGTCTGTGTTGCTGGTGAGTATCGCTGTTAATGACAACCGAGATGCACCGATGGCAACACAGTGTGTAAGACCCATGAAGACTTCCTGGCCCCAGTGGTGCTTGCGGCCTTACCAGGAGGGACCCTGCAGAAATAAATTGGGGTCCTAGGGACGGAGGGGAGGCTACTCTGGGTGTAGGTCCCAAATCAGTAAGAGGATGTAGTTTTCAAAAGCGGGTATTGATTATCTCAATTCTTGCCTCTCCCAAACTGCCAGGAGCTCTTCATCCAGGTTGATGTTGTTGAAGTACCAAGACTGAAGGAAAGGTTTGTGTTTTACCCAGTGATACCAAGGCCAGTCAGTAAGATCATGATTGATGTTGTTGAAGTACCAAGACTGAAGGAAAGGTTTGTGTTTTACCCATTGATACCAAGGCCAGTCAGTAAGATCATAGAGTCATAGAATAGTTTATCTTTAAGGTCCCTTCTAACCTAATCTAGTTGCAACCCCCTACCCTGTGGTTGGAAGGGACCTTAAAGATAATCTAGTTGCAACCCCATACCCTGTGCAGGGGCACCTCTCACTAGACCAGGTTGCTCAAAGCGCCCCATCCAGCCTCAACTTGAATATTCCCAAGGACAGGGCATCCACAGCTTCTCTGGGGCAAGATCCTGTTGTCTCAGAGCTGTAGTACCTTGTGAAGATGTCCTGTAGCAAAGGCACTGGGAATGGGGGTCAGTGCCTGGCTTGGCCTTGTGTGACCTCAGACACATCACTACATTGACCTCCTGCTGGCATCTTGGCCTTTGCGTGGGATCGCATTTCCCTGGTTCACGTGGTAGTGTGAGGATAAATCGCTGGTGATCGTGGAGGCATTGTGTGATCAGCGTTTGGAAGTCTGGAAATCAGCTCCATTGTCTTAAAGCTGTTTTCAGTAAAAATAACTCGCTGGTTTTGAGCGCTGTGGTGTAACATTGGAGACAGTGTAATTTGACTTCATGAACTGAACAGAGGGCTGGAAGTCACACATATGTGTGTGTTTCCAGAGCTCCGGCCAGCTAATGAGGCCGTGGTATATAACTAGATCCACTGGAGCGTTGCAGAAGATGCCTCTATACCCAACACATTTGTAAGCCTTCCATGATTTTCTTGTTTTCAGGACATGTGAGAGAGTGAAATATTAAGGCTGAAGGAGCAAAGGCGTATTCCCATGTGTTGAGTTTGTAAGAGGCTTTTCTCCACCCTGCTGAAGATCTGCCTTCATTGGGTGTTGGGTTTTGTCTGTCTGTGGTGCAGACTTGGAGATGTCCTTTGGTTGGCACAACTCCATCCTCTGCTCTCCAGCTGGTTGGGGACCTTCACAGCTGCCTCCAGGGTGGGGCAGGAGTGTGTGTCCGCAGCAGATAGCGTTTCAGTAAGTGCACGTTACATGTCACTAGTGTTGCAGAAAACAGCACCTACAGAGCTTGGGCTTACAATTGTATGTTTGTAAGGAGATAAGTGAAAGCGTCAACAAGATTCCTCTTAATGGTGGCTACGCTGGATGCTTTCTCATGCCTTTTTCCAGAAAAGCATTAAAGCTGGTGCCATGCTTTTTCTTGCCATGCACTAAGCTTATCTGGAAGCTCTAATATCTCAAAACAGAGTGAAGTGTGAAGGCAGGAGGCAAAGGCAGGGTAGCCCTGCTGGCTACTAGCCTCAGAGTTGGTGCACGCTTCTGAGGCTGCTGGGTTTGACTCCCTCGCCTCCCTTCCCTGGCTGAGGTTGTTCAATGTGTTAATTTGCTCGAGTCTGTTACTGCAAATCACCAGGACTCCTGTGTCTGTGTCAGCCTATTTTTTAAGGTTAGTCTTGTAAGGCCAGGTGGGTCCATATGGCTGGTTTCCCCTCTTGATGAGAAGCCTGTTGTTCTTCCACCCCAGGAAGCAGTTAGCAGTGACAGAGGATGCTGAGTTGCCATAACAGAGTTGGGACTTGCATGGGTGGGGAGCCTGAGCCAAAAAATCAGCCATTTTGTAGGCACAGTAGCTGTAGCGTGCCCCAAAGCATGTTCCTGCTTGTTGCTGTGTAGATGCTGGAGGCGTTCTGCCCTCAGCCTGGTGTCACGTGCAAGCGCTATGGAGGTGGAAGGGCAGCAGTGTTTGCGTCCCAGTTACCTAACAGCATTTGGAAATAAAGCTGCTCCCCGAGAGGTGACTGTCTTTCCTTCTGTCTAGCACAACAGTTCCTCAGTCCTCTCCTCTCCTACATCCAGCGATTAGGATTCTGCAGCTGTAGGGTGCTTTTCAGAAGAAGCCACTTCAAACCTTGTGATCTGGAGCTCAGGTGGAAAGCCGAGAGACTTCATCCCTGAGAGAGGTGGGGCTGGGCTTCGTGGTGTGGTGGCAGAGCAGAGGGATGGACTCTCCATTCCCCTGAAGGAAGGGGAAGGCTTGTGAGGGCACATCTTCACCTGGATCTCTCTGGACGTGTTGGCCGTGAGCACCTAACCCCTCTGTGAGGCTGCCCATGGTGTCCACCCCCCAGGTCTTACTGCCATATGGGGTGGTGAAGCTTGCTGCTTGCTATTTAAGGAAATATTTCTATTTGCTTTAAGAGATCTCCTGTGAGCTTCATCTGCTGTTCCTGTGCCCTCCTGCTATCCTACACTGCCAGCCCTCCTCCTCTCAGTGATGGAGGATCCCAGCCATTCTAGTCTCACCTCTTAAGGCGCTGCCTCTGGGTGATTTAATTGCTTTTCTCTGGGCATCTGTAACACCACTTGAAATGCAGAGAGTGGGCTGCAGGGTGCAGTTGTGGATGTGCTGGTGTTAAACACAGCAGCAAGTGATGCTCTGCCTTCGTCTTGCTACTTCTGATGACTTTATTTAATGTTCTGCTGCACCCTGAACTGGTCATTTTGGAGAATTGTCAGCAGTGGCTGAGATCTTTCTTGAGTTGTAAATGCCACTTTGAATTAAATGTTGTGAAGTTTTCCATAAAGAGATGGGGGTGATGCTCCCACTGCAAGAAAGTGGTTTTTAATCCTTTATAAAGAAAAGGAGGGGAGATAGATCTTGAAATGAGGAGAGAAAATGCTGTGTTGTGTTCTTGTAGCTGGGGGTTCCTGACTCCTTTGGAAAGGCTTAATTTGATTAGGGTGTTTTTACTCTTTTATGCTGTGTATTGAGGCAGGGGAGGCAGCCACCTGTAGCACTGGAATTACCTGAATTGGAGAGAATGGTTTATGCAGCGGGATCCACCTTGCACCCAAGAAAGAAGTTGGCAGCATTTATTATATCAAAGTTATTTAGAAAAATCTTGTATTTCGCTGGATCTGGCTTAGGGTGGGGGGCATAAATGAGGATGTGGTGTCTTGTGCTTGGAGAGTGTGCCCTGAAATCAGCCTGACTGAGGTACAGTAATCCTTAAGTAGCAAAAAAGGAGCCTTCCTGCCTGCTCTCAAAGACTGCATGGATATTTGGCTGCCTTGTTGTCACAGTTTTAAGTCTCTGGATTCACCAACAGGAGGGAAGCCCCCATACCTGTGCTTAGTTTAACCCAGGTGGTTACAGGACCTCTAAATTCCTGGGAATATTTGCTGCACCTGATCCTGCCGCTGAATCACTATTGCTTTCCCCTGTCCCAGGAGATATGGGGATGGATTTCTGCTTGGTGGTGGCTTTGTCTTCCTCGACCGCACAACCTGAGCTGCTGCTCTGTCTCGTTATGTTAAACTCTGTTGGGGAGGCAGGTTTGCAGCTGACCTGGTGCTGGCTTCAAGGCTGAGATCTAGTTGGGGACACAGTTGTCTTGCAGAGATCGCTCTGCAAAAATAGCCAAAGCCAGATATGGGAACCACAGCAGGGAAGAACGAAGAATGATGTTATTTAAATTATATCATGGTCTTCTTTCTAGAAACCTTGTCTCTGGCACTCTTCCTTGGGATGATTGGTTTTCCAGAGGCATGTTTTGCAGAGTTTGCCCCTTTGCCTTGCATGATCCCTCGCCGGGCTGTGCTGGTGCGGATGGTGGAAGCCTCACAGTCCTCTCCTAGACAGTGTGAACGCCTGGAGCTGGAGGGTCGCACGGCAGGCACTTGGCTCTCAATTCCTGTCTCTTCGTTGTTAAATATTTACAGTGAGATGTACCAGATGCTTCCCAGGAAGGGTTTTGTCAGCTTCCAAGTCCCCAGATGCAGCTGGAGAAGAGGCTGACAGCCATTAAAGGGATCGCATCAGTGTGATGCCCTGGGCTCGGCAGCGACGCGGTGACCTCTTCTTGCTGCTGCTATAGGCACTGCTGGTTGTGCTGTCTCATCGGCCGCAGCGGGATGCGGGTGGAGAGCACCCCTCTGCTGATGACAAGAGATTAATGATGTCTAGTCCTCAGGCTTTCCTTTTTTTTTCCTCCCCTTTGAAGCTCTTCCACTGCGTTGGGAGGGGGAGCGGGTGATGCTCTCGGCTTTTGTTGCCACACACCTTTTTTCAGGGACCT